TTGTCATGGAGTTTTCGGATCCTTCTCCGAGGAGTCTTATAGTAATGATGTTGTGCCTACTTTTTATAAAACTATATTTGTTTACCTTAGAATGGCAGAAATTTTAGGCTTTGGACGAAATGCAGACAGTTGATTAACTCAGCAGACTAAATCTCTGGAAACGCCCGAACGCGCTAACCATGAGTTGATTTACATATCTATGAAATGCGGAACGCAAATTTTACACTGCAAAACATTATTATCACATGATTAGGTTTGTAATGAAATTAACTTATTCGATATAATCAATGAATTCAGTATTTCCTAGAGGAAGAAAATTCCTCGGAAAATTCTCACAATAACAAAATTTCAAAGAATCCCAAAAATTCTCTCAGTTAATCCCACCGAAAAATTTCAATCTGTTTAAAGGGATGTACACGTAAAGGTGATGACATCTCCCTCTACGAAGACGCCATCTATGAGAACGGTAGAAGACTCAATCATCGAATATCAAAGATAAACGAGGCTTCTAGTTGCAGTGCTAAGCTTTGACATCGACTGCCGATGAAATCGTCCATTGTCTTTCACTGCACCTTTTTACTGCAAGGCAACTCGATGGATTTGTGATACAATACCAGACAGCGTTGTTTCGACTCGCCAAGTCTAATCAGTGGCTGAACCACTGAACTGTCTTGAAACAAACAAGCTTCTTTCGGTGGTCGATGTAGAAGCTTGACTCCGCAAGGCACCGCCTTGGGTGAGGGATCATCAATATGGCTTTCGGAAACAAAGATCAACAGGCGACCTTCTATCGTATGTAACGCACATTTGGAATAAAGCAATCGAGAAACATGGAGAGTCAATAGCTGTTGCGCTTGATATTTGACCGTGTATGGCATGAGGGTTTGCTGACCAAACTTTGATGCTATGGCTTGTTGGATCATTTTTGTATATGGTTCTCCAGCTTCCTGAAAGAACGTTTGCTGCAAGTGGCCGTCGATGAATATCTCTCCATCAATGCTGGTGTTCCCCAGGGATCCATATTGTCTCCAACCCTCTTTTTATCGTATATCAACGACCTATTTTATTGGAAAAAACCAAGAATCCAATATACGTATATATTTGCTGACGATAGCACACTTTTCCCGTCATTCCATTTGAATATAGTGTGGAAATATTTAGGAAATTCGTAACATGAAAAATCAATTTGAATTTTAGGGGTTATATTTTTAGGAGTGATTAATTTGTGGGAAAGTTTTTAGTAGAAAGCCAAAAACTTTCTTTCCCGTGAAAAATCAACTTTCTACATCTACCAAACTGGAATATGTTATTCCTGATGACCTAATCGACGAAAAAAACACAGCGCAATAGTTTTACAGTCCGTCTGAGGGGGTGGAAATGGGGTGAGAATATTTAAAGAATTCGTAACATGAAAAATCGCCTTTGTACACCTAGCAAACTGAGATATGTTATTTCTGATTACCAAATCTACAAGAAAACCATTACGTTACAGTTTTCCAGACCGTCTGAGGGGGTGGAAAATTCAAAAATCGTATCATCAAAAATTGAATTTGTATAACTACAAGATTGGGATATGTTATTCCTGATGATCAAATCGACAAGAAACACATGACGTCATAGTTTTCCAGGACGTCTGAGGGTGTGGAAATAGGGTGGCTACATTTAAAAAATTCGTAACATGAAAAATATATTTTGTACACCTACCAAACTGATATCTGTTGTTTCTGATTACCGAATCTACAAGAAACACATCACGTCATAGTTTTCCAGGACGTATAAGGGGGTAGAAATGGGGTGAAAACATAAATCGTATAATTGAAAATTGAATTTGTATACTCTCAAAATTGAGATATACTATTTCTGATGACAGAAATGGCCTATATATGTACACATTAAAATTTCAATGATACAATTTTTTTACTGTAGAACCTTCAATCATAACATTCAACGAAGATTTATCGGATTTATCTGGTTCTAATAACTTATATACTTATTACCTTAAGTATGAGCATAATAACTTATGCTCATACTTAATACCTTCTTGAGTAAACATTTCTATTCAAGACTCAACCTCTGACGGAAGCAACAAACTCTTTGGAAGGTTCGAAATAGATGAACATTTCAATTTAGCAGACCACTATTATAATATTCAAGCAGTTATTGTTCACTGTGGTTCTGGCGTTGAATTTGGTCATTATTACGCCTTGGTCAAAGACGAAACAGACTGGTTTAAGTTTGACGATAGTCGTGTCACGAAGTGTTCTGGNGTGTCTGAAAGTTACTTCTTTGCATGATCTACACATCCATGTATAGAGTTACTTCCTTCCTTTCTTTGGAAGACTCCCTCATCCTTCTTTTTTTTGTATCAAGATGGAGTAGTAGAAAGCCAAAAACTTTCTTTCCCAAAAAATTATTATTGAAAAATACAGTCATCACCAAAAGATATTATCTTTGTGAATGATGGAAATTCAAAAGGAAAAAGAAATTCGAAAATGAAATACCGTTCTTGAATGTTAAAATCAGAGGAACCGACAAGGAAATATGTATCTACAGGAAACCAAGTCAATGGCTGAATTAGAAATCTAGACACTGTCAATCTGAGAAAGATCATTTCAATGGTCATACATATAGCAAGGCATTCATTTGCAGTAATAAATTTGACAATACTTTTGAACGATGGAAGTTCAAATTCCTGATATTTGCTTTCCCATTACCCACAGATCATCCACAAGTGGATAAGCGGAATATCACACTGTTACTCATCGAAATCTCGTCAGTCGTCATCGTCTCGTCATCGAATTTTCGCAACTTGAAATTGTCACTGCTATTCTTAACTCATTCCATCTAGATAGAATTTGACATGTAGAACTAGATCACATCATATCATGGACTGTTTGAGAAGTAAGATGAATGTTGAAATTTCGTTGGCTACATACATTCTATAAGTAATTTTTTATTTTATCATGTTGGTACACCCATGTCGAATATATAGGGTTTTCATTGAGCGCTGTGATTTGTTCCTTTTTCGCACCAGCGACGTAAGAAAACCCCTCAAGAAAAAGTCTAACGGAGTCAAATCTAACGATCTCGGTGGCCAGTTCACATCACCTCCACGTGAGGTGACCGTACCCTCAAATCGCTCGTGCAGAATGTGGCGTGAGCTGTGTGGCACGTAGCGCCGTCCTTTTGAAACCACATGTCGTTTGTGTCCAAATCATCCAATTCAGCAATTTAAACCGCTGAAACTTTTGAAGCATAATGATGAAGTAAATTGTAATGTGATAACGATTATTTTCATTTTGGGTGGTAATCAAGGGGTGATTTGCATCATTACGCTAATTTGATTGGGGGACTTTTGATTTTTTATATTGTTTCAGCAAATAAAATATTTGCATTCGTAAGAGACTTCGTAAGAGACTTCGTAAGAGACATTCTTATTATCCATTTATGGAAAAAATCATGAATGAATTCTTATTGTGGTTCCATGTACAAAACGAAACATAATCAAATTGTGGTTGTAGAGATTGTATATTTATTGATTGGCAGTATTTCTTGGCGAATGTTAATGAATCGGATCCATTGCATAAAAAAATGATTGAGGACGAGATGAATTAATGAGAGAGAAAATGAATTTTGTGTTATTCATAGGAGGAAGTAATTAATTCATATAATCTCTTCACATTTATATATGAAAGGAAAATCTGCAATTGATCTACACTTGAATAAATAGGGAGTTCGATTGACAGTAAAATGTTCCGAAGAGTTTTACAGAGAAATTTTATACTTTTTTTTTTTTCATTTTTATTTTTTTTTGTCAGTTGAATTATCATTGCAATCATCTTTCAGAACTTCAGCGGCAACTTCGGAGTCAGCTATCAAGATCTGAGCATGTTCAAGGACGATCATTTGGCCAGTCTGAAAACGTCATCGTTGATCGACCACTTCATCAAAAACAAAAAGCAGCGATCTCAACCAGCCAATGACATCTCTAGCGGCTTGACGAAAATTTTAAAATTAGACACGCTCCAAGAATGCGACCGATCGTCTAAATTTAAATCGTCGTCCTGCAGTGAACCTAACTTATTTCAGACGGCCAGTGAGAAAAACGGAGTGAACACGATTCATGTGTATAGTGTTCCAAAGGATTTGAATTTTATTGGTGAATTCAGTGGTGCTAACAGCGGCGGTTGTGATTCAGTTGCTGTACAGGATTTAAATCTCGCCGATTTGCAGCTCGAAACGTTTCTGGAAAACGATGAAATGAGTGTGAAGAAGGAAAAAATGACTCACTACTCGCGCGAGGGTAGCTACGCTGAAGCTATGGCCAACAGGGTGGATCTCAGCGATGACGAGCACAGTTTGTACAACAGGAGAAAACCGAAGCTACCCAAAACTCCCATAGTGGAGTTTGACAGACGAGTTCTCAAAGCGATTTCGGAACAAAGCTTCCAGAGCTTGGCTAGTATTTTGAGCATCTCGCAGACCTTGCAACAAACTGATGCGTATCTAGATAGTGCATTCACGTCTACGCCTATTTCGTCTGCAGCAAAACGCAATGTGGCCAGTACTCCGAATTTGGCGGTGACAGATCAAACCCAACCAGCAAAGCCATTTTTCGACGAAGAACGTCGAAAATCCGTTCAAGATATACGAAGAAAAGGTAGCATAATCAAATCCAGCACTAGCACGAGCGGGATGTCCGACAGCGAAGAGAAAACTTTAACTTCTTTGAAAAGTTTCAACGGATCTACGAATTCTAAAGGTGTTCACTTTTCACCCGTAGTATCCGAAGTAAACTGGCGAGATGACAGCGTGTCTACAGTTACGCCCGATCGGGAATCCAGTTACAGTTTAGGAAGTTCATCACCGGAAAGAAGGCGATCACCTTCCAAAGAGATAGTGAAGCCGAAAGCTAGGTTAGGTACCCCCGTTGGGCTGTCTTATTCGCAACCCGATTTATCTGACAACGATACCTGCAGGAGGGAATTCGTTGATTCTTTGAAGAGTCTCAGGCAAGATATGAGCAAAAGTCAACCAGACGTGACGAAGTTCAAGAGGAGGGGTATGTTTTCATATTGTTTTACTTTCGTTTGGTGAAGGTTGTTTAATTATTATAATCAGTTTTCAATATTCTTTCCTCATTATTAATATTTATATGTAAAGTTCAGAATGAATCATCAATTTGGCAACCATCGAGGCATTAAGAAACCAACTGGACAAGCATAATTAGGGACCTATCACATTCTAACCGATCATTGCATTGATACCAATACTAGTATGCGTACCGGTCAGATGTAGGTGTATTTCTAATATACGTCGCATCACAATAATCCACAATATTCTCTCAACAAAAGAACAACTGGGAGGTCGCCAAAAAAGTTATCCCAGCACTGGTATAACTTCAATATTTTCTTTCAATTTGACGTTTTTTACTCAACAACTTTCTCCTATCAGATGAGATTTTTATACATACAGGATGAATAATAACATTGAAACAATAAAATTGAAATACTCAAATTACGTTTTACAAACGGTTAAAAAAAAAGAAATATCAATAATTATTGAAAAATTAACAAATGTTAATGGTTATTTCTAACACTACTGAAGGAACTGGAGAGGATACTGGATGGATAGACACATCAGTCGACTTGCTATATGCATTCATTCCCCTGAAAACTAACCAGTATGCATATCAAACTTTGGGGAAAAACTATCTAATATTTCAGCAATAAAGGGATTGGGTTGGACATATTTCTCGATATCGAAGAAGCATTTGACAATGCACTTCCAAATTCTAGTGGATCAGCCTTGGATGTGAAAAGCATGAAATCGACTATACTAGCTGAATCTACCTTATGCTGATAAACATAACAGCAACATGACTCTTCAAGATGAAGCCATAAGAATCTGTCACCGCTGATGGATAGTCCACTTGATGTCCTCGGCAGAAGTGAAGTTTTTACAGATGACCTTGCCATCCTAAGCAAGGACCACGTAGGAGTACAGAGTACAGATTAGTCTGTAATATCCTCCAAAAAATGCTGGATGATTTTCATTTTGATGCCAGAAAAAACTTTGATAGGCCCTCATCCCATGGCCGAAAGCTACACAGCAAACGACTCGGGCGAAGCTCTCCGATGTACAAAGGCAGGATTGACTGACTATCTCCGTTGCCTTTTGCACCACACTGTTAGCGGCCATGGAAATCCTTCTAAAACCATCTCCTCTCTACATCTTTCTAGAGACATGATCTACATGGCAAGTATATACAATTAGGCATATTGTCAATTACACAAAGTTACACAAACTTGATCCTTGGGGAGGAGAGAAAACTTAAAAGCAGATAGCTGTTGATGTAATAAAAGATCTAACACCTTCGGGCAGATAAAGAACTGAGATAGGGACATAAGCGATCGTGTTACAAGCGGACATTTGCGCCATCAATTTGTGTGTGAAGAGATTGGCAGATTCCTCACACAAATCAATAAAAATGTTTCCGGATTATTAAGCAGATCTGAAAGCACTTGACTCTCACCTAGCAACATTAAAGTTGATAGTGACTGCAAAAAAGGCTTTTCAATAGATAGACTGAACAAATTGTCTCTGGTTCGGATTTTTATTGACACCGGCCTGGAAGACAATGAAGCTGCTAACTCTTTTGCAAGGTAGGGTGTTGCAATATGTATCGTCGGACCACCACTTCTTATTGGCATGACCTCGGAGTTTGGTTTGCCTAATGAACACAAAATATCTGAACTGCAGTTTTAGACTACTAGCAAAACCAACCAGGATTGATTCATTCCAAGGCATTTATACATTCTTGGAAGTATTATATCGAACAACTGTTAAGACTACAGAAAAATGCCTATGTTGTATAATAGACCTATTTACAGGTCACTGTCGTCTGTATTATCATATAAAGATTGGACTATCGGAAGACAGAGTGTTGCATCTCTACTTGGCAAATAATGAAAATTAGAGATTATTCTTTCCTTATGCCCCGCTGCGGATCGAATCAGGTTTTTAGAGTTTGGCAGAGTTTCTCCTCTGCTATTCAACATGAGGAATCACTTACCTAGTTGACGAATCGGCTCATTGAAAAGCTGGACTTATTTGAGTCGTTTTAGAATAGCTTTGAACCTACCTGAGTATATGCAGGTCAGTTATGTAAAACGGAGCACTTATTAATTGAAAAAATACAATTCAGGAGAGTACGAGGCTAATTATTCTGAAGGTATATATCTTACAAGTCATTAATGGTGATAGTTAGAAATTTACTCTTCATTATCATAGACAATTATTTAACATACAAAACAATATTCGAGTATATTTCAACGAATAGAAACTGACTACTTCTGAAAGTCGAAATAGAACGTTTGTTCTCGCAGTCACTTCAATCATACGTTTTGAGTTTCTGAGATGAAGCAAGTCCAGAAATTTCTTTCATGTATATTGGAGAATTATTTTTCATGTTCGAAAATGAACAGATTTCAGTTTTTTACCACTTAGTGTCTGATGAACGAATGCTTAACATTTCATGAAGAATGAACTCTCTGAGACTCATTGTATATAAAAAACATAGTGTATAAAAAATTCAATCGACAGTTAAGCTTACCTTCAGTCCAAAAAAGTTATGAGAAAAATCATCTCTGGTTGAACCGCCCCATTCCCTTCACTGAACCACATCTATAATTGAAATGAATTTTCGTGCGAGTTTTCCACCCACGCTGACGTCTGGGAACGCTTTGGAATTCTATTCATCTTATCATACGGGAACAGAGTATGCACCGTAGAAAACTGTCAAATCCAACAAGAAGAAAATGAATATATTGTTTTTCTTCAATCTCTCTTTGAGTATGTATTTTATAAAGTAGAATACAATGCAAATAGTTCTACAAAGAAGTCATTTGTGCATATTCAAATGAAATAACGTGAGGACCGGCTTTCTTGTTTCCTTCTTGATGCCAGAGCCGGTGGAAAAGTGGTGAATCAAGGAACTAGCTTGTCCTAATATCTTGATTTTCCTAAACAAACATAGCAGAAACGGGCATAAGATTTGTTATGTGCTTCTTGTTTAAGTGAGAGTGGGAACCTACTTGGTTTTTTTACTCCTCACGACTTAGAATAGGAATAATTTCAGGCCTAGTAATATCTTTTTCGAACTCTATCAAGGTTCTTTTTGTACCGAAATGTCTTTCTGCTCATATACTGCAAAGTTGTGGTACCCTCGGTAAAATTGAATGATGAATTATGGAGGTCTCGCCTAGATTCTTCCAGTTGCGAATGAATACTCCAGCTTGTACCACGGGAAATCCCTCTGAACCAAGTAACTCTCTGCAACTACATCATATTTGGAGACTTTAGCTCAGTAGCGTTATTCAGAATTCCATTTTATTTATGATCTATAGATCTAGTCTTTCAGAATCCATTCGCACAGTTGTGTCTGAGTTTTTTCTGTTTCCGGTGTTGCACGTGTCGCCAGAGTTGGTTTTTATTCATATGCTTCTCGAGGCTGGTAATCTCTTAAGGATATCGAGAAACAAATAGCTATTTCTAGAGGGCTTTTTCTTGCAATTTTTGTCTCAAAGTTACTTGTTTGCATGATCTACACATCTTTTATGGAGTAAATTTTTGAAATTCATTGCTTCTTTTCTTTCTGTAGAAGATTCCCACATTTCTTGTATCAAGATGGAGAAGTGGAAAGCCAAATACTTTCTTTCCCAATGAATTATTTTATGATCAAATGTGAGGTGTAGTTTTTGAAATCGTTTTTATTATTTGCGCGCTTTGACTGATTCAGAATACTGTCCAATCTGAAACTGATTTTTAAAAATATTATATTATGACATCATAAACGAGCTTGTTCTCATTCAAACTAATGCCAAATTCATAAATGCTTATATTTATTCAGTAACACTAGCACTATTTGATAGAATCCGAAGAATTCAACTGGTTAAAATTAGACAAATTTTGATTAACATGTCTCATGTTTGTTTTTGACTTGTGCACATTGCCAATTGCACAAATCAACTTAATGCAGAGTGCAACAGACTGTTGGTTGAGACTGGAAGTCAAAGCATTCTGGAAATGACCTCTGACTTTATGCCTCTAACTGTCAACTGCGAACTGCTTTCTAAAGTACTGTTCCCGAGTAGAGAGGACTAGATCCTCCAGGAGAAGGAAATATTAAGAGCAGATAGTTGTTGGTTCATAGATGGATCAAAAACACCTTCCGGTTCTGGTGCTATGTGACTGTATTTCAAGCGGAAATCTGTGTTATTGAATTGTGTGCGGAGAGATTGGAAGAATCCAACCTCATATACGAGTCAATAAAAATATTCTCGGACAGTCAAGCGGCGTTGGAAGCTCTTGGCTCCTACCGAGCAACGTCTGAATTGGTAGCAAAATGCCAAAAACGACTCTCCTCGATAGGAAGACTTAACAGATTGTCTCTGGTCTGGATTCCTGGCCATACTGGCCTGGAAGGGAATGAGGCTGCTGAATCCCTTACAAATGAAGGTGCAGTAAGCAGTTTCATTGGATCAGAACCTATCATTGGCATCGCTTTAGGCTTTGCCAAACAAAGATTATACACCTGGATTTCAATAAGATTTATGAACTTCTGGCAGTATCTTCCACAGGTCACTGTCATTTGACACACACTATCTTCCGACACACACTGTCGGAAGACAGTATGTGTCGCCTCTGTTTGGAAAGTAATGAAACAGTAGAGCACCTACTTTGTGCCTGCTCCGCTGGGGACCGAATCAGGTTTTTAGACTTTGGCAGAGCCGTACTCTTGCCATCTGACCTGAAACATCACTCACCATACAAACTAATCGGCTTCGTTAAGGAGCTGGGTTTATTTGGTCGAGTGTGAATAGGTGTGAGCTACAAAAAACCCTTGCGGGTTGCGGTGGAGGGTCGAATAGATCAACTCACTTTGGACTTAACCTAACCCAACTTAACCTCATATTTGTTCTGTAAATAAATCAAATATTGGAAAAATTCTTATATATGGAACCAAAACTCATTCGCCTTTCATCACAATTCTATCAGGGT